GGAGCATTTAGGGTAAACTTGGTTTTGTGGGTGGTTGGCAGGTTCTCTCCTTCTTTTCCATTAAAAACTTTTCTTTAAGCTACTCTCTATTAGCACCCCTAATATTTGACACTTTTATGAGCCATTTGTGTTAAAAGTGCTCTAATAATCTTTTTCTTATTAAAACTAAATTGGAACACAAATTTTTCTCTCAATTCTAATGAGCATTTTCCATGACTTGTTGATTACATTTAATACTTTTTACACTTTCTTTAAGAAAACATCTGATTTACCTAAATAGCTTAAAGTTGATGGTTGCCAGTATGAAAGAACTGTTTTCGTTTTATGGAAATTGATATTATGTATATTTTTAAATTTTAATTTTCTGCTATTACCTATTGTCTTAAGCAAATTTATCAATATATCCATTATTATATTACGAGACTTGCATCAATCTTTTTTTTAAAAAATAAATTATATTAACAAATGAATTTGTGTTGTACACTCCATAAAACAACATGCATTTGCCTTGTACTTGTAAGTAGTAGTTAGGAACAGATAATTCAGTGAGAGGTTAGCGGGTGCTCTGGTGTAGTTTGCTCCTTCTTTCCTGTCAACTTCTATCGTCCTTGTCTGTCCTCCTTTTTTTTGGGTGTTTTTTACTCTCTTGTAACACCTGCCTCTATTCTTCGGCTCTTCTTATGTGGCTCTTCTTAATTCAACTAATTGTGTTGCAAGTGCTGTGGTCTGACCTCGTTGTAGAGATAATTTTTCTGGATGTGGGTAAAAGTAAAGTAAGAACTTCTCTGTTGACATCCACCCCTTGGCGCTCATATGACCTTATGCAGTTGCGATCGCCGTAAAACCTCTACTAAAACGAAAAAAGTAAAGTAAGGACTTCTCTGTTGACATCCACCCCTTTGCGCTCATATGACCTTATGCAGTTGCGATCGCCGTAAAACCTCTACTTAAACGAAAAAAGTAAAGTATAGCCCTCCATTAATTTTTTAACTCCTTGACCTAGTATGCATCATCGGGAGGTGACAGTAGGGCTGACCAACTAAAAGAAAACAGATTACTCATACATGTCAGGGATTTACAATACATTTTAAAATGTCCAAAACATTCGTAGTTTGGGTTCCGGTTAATAGATATAATGAGAAAAATTGGGGGGGCTCTCGTGGCCTAGATGTTAAGGTGTATGGCCTCTCATTCGAAGGTCCCGGGTTCGAATCCGGGTAGCGACCGAAAAATTTTCTTCTCTAAAATTGTCTCCTTTCACCTTCTTTCCTGCTCTCTAGCAATGTTCTCTAGTCTGCTTCCATTTCCACTTTCTGCCCCCACCCCCTCACCTCCTTTGCCCCCTCCTCTGGGCTCCTGACTCTTTCTGCAGGCTTTCTACAGCTACTCCTTGGCTCTTTCTTACTGCTGTCTTTCTGCCACTCCCCTGATCTTCTGGTAGGAAAGATCTACACCTAGCCTTCTCGGACAAGGGCGAAAAATCTCGGAGGGCCCGTGTGCAAGTTGTGCACGTTAAAGATCCCTTGGTTGTCTAAAACTAAAATCGATAAGAGTAGGCTTCGGCCGCCATCCGGGTAAAATATTAGTTGTGTCCCGCGCGCTCATATGACCTTATGCAGTTGCGAGCGCCGTAAAACACTTTACAAAAACAAAAAATTAGAAAAATTAAATGAGATATCGGTCGGAGAATGGCAAATTTGATGAGCTATCCGTTCTTTCGGGTTTTGTTTTGTTTCTATTTTGTTTTTGCTTTTGGATTGGCCTTTTGTATTCGTGTTATCTGTGCCCGCCTTTTTGTAAGTGTACCTCCGCGTTGAAGGTCCTTTGGTGGCCCTAAAATCATTAAGAGTATGACTCAGCGGCCAATCGGGCAAAATTCAAAATTAAATTCCTACCAAACTGAAAATGCGTCATGTGTCCGGCGCGCTCATGTGGCCTTTTTCAGTTGCGAACGCCGTAAAACACTTACCAAAATAAAGAAACACACAAACAAACAAACAAAACCTCCAAAACAGAGTGACGACCACAACATTGGCTCAGGAGCAAATTAGGATATTGAACGGAGTACACCGTCGAATAACGTACGTGTGCCTCTTTGGGGTCCAGGGGGCTGGTTTTTAAACCTCTTTCGGTATCTAAGATCTTTCAGATAAAGCAGAAACGATACTTGGGGGGGGGGGGGTGCTAAACCTGAAGGCTATCTCGCTTATTAGAGGATCAAATTTTACCAAATTTCACACATATAGTAAGCATAATAAGGACTCTTAAAATCCGCAATCAAATTTCTAGCATTCGCGTTTGTCGAATCGCGGCCGCCATTTTTGGCATTGTCATATAAGTGCCGAAGAACAGATGTATTACAATAGAGTAACAAACACAAAAAAGAAGGATAAGTGATTGGGACAACAAATGACGTTTGATAAGAAAGATGGAACAGACCACACAGGAGCTCCGGCCAATCACAAACGTAATTAACAAACAAGATAAACACAATAACAACAAAAGAAGACTCAAGACTACAGTATGTATAATATGTCAAGACTGTATATATATTTATTATGTCAATTCCATAATACAAAACACGGAAAACAATAATAATATTGTTATTTCTTTGTCACAACGTTGAAACAAAGCGGCAAACCTTGACATTGATTGGCAATATTCTTGCACAACGCGGACATTGAAACATTGATTAAGATTCCAAGATTGTAAGACACGATTTAAGACACCCCTCGACCCCCCTAACGACGCCCCCAAATCCACTCGATTAATTAAGACACTTCAGAAGGCTGGCTTCCTGGACAACATAGCCTTACCAAGCCAGCACATGCCAAATGAACAACAACATCAAATCTGACAGACTCAGATACTGGATGAAATACCATCCCTGTGTGGGGTTCGAACTCATGCCTTCTGCATGCAGCGGCGAAGAGCCTAACTTAAACTATGACACTACAGACACTGGTTATTGAATCATGGGTTGGTTTCTTCATTTTTTCCCCTGGAATTCTGACAAGTGATAACAATAATACTAATTCTGATAATAATGATCATACTATTGCTACTAATACTACTCATAATAATGCTCATAATACGCGTAATACACTTAATAATAATAATTTTAATAATAATATAATAATAATTATTATGATGATGATGATGATAATAATAAAAATAATATAATAATAATTATCATCATTATTATTATGATGATAATAATAATAATAATAATTCCTTTTATATCATATGTGAGGCAGCGAGGTGGAATCAGGCTCTCGTCAATTTTGGGCATGTAGAGTTATTGGTACATGTATCATCGTAAAGCTTGTTCTCTTGTCTTTATTTGAATGAAAAAAATATCCAGTTATCTTGAATACAAGTCGAGATATTTGCGAAAGAAGGAGGTGGGGGTTCACTTATTTTCAGAGGTAAAATTAGTGAGAAAATGGCGGCCAAAGATTAGTTATTTCCTTAGCCAAAGAGTCCGTGAAAACTGAAAATTTACTTTTTTTGTGCCTTTAATCAACGTTTTTAGAAAAATCCACACAGAAATGAGTTCTTTAATGGGCATGAAAGGTGTTGAGCCAAAAAACGAAAATGTGATAACATTTACAAACCTGCGGAAAAATGCGAGTTTTTTCACTTTGATTATTTTGACGAGAGCCTGATTCCACCACGCTGCTTCACATATCATGTATTCATTCTCTACGGCTATTCTCGAATTATGGGAACAATATCCTGTTGTCATACCTCGTGACCTTCAGGTGTACAGCTACACGAGTATAGCATGGGTCCAACACCCTTTTCAACGCTATGAGGGTATTTAGACTGTGAGTGAAGGGCTTTGGGGGGGGGGAGGGGGCGATCTGCGTTCATCTCCAGTAGGACCCAACTTAGTCAGCAGAAAGCCATTGAAACTTCTCAAACAACCAAGTTCAACAGCGTCCAGACACGGATTTGAACCAGCGCCATCCGATTCCGAGCCCAACGTAAAACAATTAATGTATCTAACGGGGCACTCTCGGCAGAATAAGCACAGTATGTACACAGGACAAACATTTGATAAAGCTAAAGATAGCACACAGATACAAAACTAAACAAACACATAATTGTCATAATTCAAGCAGTCTCCACCAGAAGTACATGTAATTTCTGTTTCTCTTCAGAAGTAGCGTCTAGTCAGTTACTAAAGGCCAAAATGCACGTTTCCTGATCAGTGTGGTTTTTAAAAAAAATCGGGATTAGAATATGATGTTCCCGAAAGGATGCACACAAGACACCAACAACTATGTGGGAAAACGATAATATATCAACATAATGATATCCTCAGACACATTTAAAACTCTCCCAAATGAGAGACCAGGCTAACAATTTGAATTAATGATGGCCTAACAACAGAAGGAAAAAAAAACATCCATCAAAGAGTCATGTGCTTAGAGCAAATTAACCAGGAAGGAATTCAGACACTCAGAAGTCCCTTACTTTAAGTTGTGTAAACTATCCAGAGAAACGAGCAAAAACGTCAACTTATCTCACTGGGGACGCGAACTCTCGCCATTCAGCGATGCTCGAAGAAACGCCGTTTTGAACATTAAAAAAAAAAGGAGTATGATTATTATTATCAATACAGATGTTTCAACAGTGTTATCTTTGTCTCAAACGTAGAAAGATCCATCGGTTGTCCTAAAATCGATATGAGTAGGCTTTTGCCGCAACCCGGGCATAATTCAAAATTAATTGTTTCCAACCTAACTGAACATTCTTAATGTGCCACGATTGCTCATATGGCCGTAAAATACTAGCAAAAAACAACAATTTTAAAAAAGTAAAAGCCAGGTGACACCATGCATACTATTACATTATATATGCAAATGTAATTTCTAGTTCGTGTACAATGGTTTGGCGTGTATTGCTTTTGCTCAGCAGCGGATCAGACATACTACCAGCCACACCGGTACAAAGTTTGAAACACCTTGTACCTTGTTGATCTATTTTTCCTGGTTTATTAAGCGTACAGACACGTTGGCTTTTTTTGGCGTTCATTGGTTTGATTCCTGCTTCAAACTTTACACAACACATCACACTAACGTGTTATAGAAATCGGATGATTCTTGAGCAACTTTTCATCTCAACATTACACACACACACACACACACACACACACACACACACACACACACACACACACACACACATACACACACACTCAGACACGTGCACACACAGACACACACAGAGTTATATACACTCACACGCACTTACAGGTACATACATGCAGACACTCACACGCACACAGGCACACACGCACACACACACACACACACCCGCACACACACACACACACAATTCAACTTCATCCATAATGCCAAACACTCATCTTCTTCTCTCTATCTAATTCCCGTTTCTCCGTGTCTATTCGTGAAATTCAAAAAGCGTGGTACCCTCTAGCACAGAAAATACAACGTCTCGAAGACAAATCCATACCTGTATTGATTCAGCTTGACATTCATTGCCAAAATAAACTACATGTGTCACGACATGGTGGAATCAGGCGCTCGTCACTTTTTGGGCATGTGGAGATAGTGGCATCATCTTAAAGCCTGTACATTACAACAACGTAAAACATTTAATCTGCTACGTGTGCACTAGACAACCTCCAGTCATTAATATTATAAAAACCAACAATCTGCTACATATCATGTTTAGCATTAAAATTTTAAGCTGTCTATCAAAAGTACTCTTACCCAAGAAAAAAAACCCCCGAAACAATCCATCATGTGTGTGCACTTTCCAAAGAAATATTATCAAACAGAGATATTATGTCATGCGATCCAATTTTTTTACCCACATTAATTCAATGCAACAGACAATCTCCCCTGCTTCCGCAGTTTTTGAAAAGGATATCTTAAACTTACACAGATATAAACTGTAAATACGATTCTCTGCCATGTGTGCACAGTCATTAAGGTGTATCGAACAAGAAAACCTGTAATGTGTCCATGGTCTTAGACTACTTACAGATACCACACGTGTGCACATTCTTTAAGACAAATCAACCATCGACACAAACGTATCAATAGTCTTAGAAAAATAACTTGCATTACACATTCTTCATCAAGACGCATCAAACCAACACGTATAACAAAACAGATACAAATAGTACGTTCTATCGTCTGCAGATCTTCCTAAAAGATGCCGCGGAACTCTGTGCTCTCGAGAATGACGTCAGGATCACGCTCCAGCAACTCATCATACTCTTTGGCCACAGGTGGCAGTGAGCACTGGTCCACGGAGTTGCCATTGCGCAGCACGCGCACGCCTTGTTTGGGATCCTTCTTGTTCTTGTGCTCGATCCGGATCTGGAAAAAGAGGAAAATAAAAAGCACAAAGTTAAGAATAGAACGACTTTCAGAGAACTGATGTGTTCATGTTTGTCTTTTGTTGTTGCAGTTTGTTGTTTGTTTGTTGTTTTTTCTTGTTGTCGTTATTGTTGTTGTTGTTGTTTGTTGTTTGTTTCTTGTTGTTTCTTGATGTAATTATTGTTGTTGTTGTTGTTGTTGCTGATGCTGTTGCTGTTGCTTATAGTGTTGCTGTTGCTCTTTGCTGATTGTTTATAGCGTTGTGGTTGTTTGTTATTGTTGTAATTGTTGTTGTTGCTGTTGTTGTTGGTGTTGTTATTTGTTTGTTTGTGTGCGTGTGTACGTGTGAGTGTGTGTGTGTGTGTGTGTGTGTGTGTGTGAGAGAGAGAGAGAAAGAGAGAGAGAGTGAGTGCGCACTATCTTGAATTTTAGTTTAGATATTTGCGACTGAATAAGGTGGGGGTCTCTTGATATTCAGAGGTAAAATTAGGGAGAAAATGGCCGCCAAAGTTTAGTGACTGTCAACGCTTGAGAGTCTTTGGAAACTACCCATTTACATAATCAAAATTTTTCAGTAAAATCCACACCGAAATGTTTTTAAAATAAACATAAAAGGTGTTGAGGCAAAACAAGAAAATTTGATAAACATTCCCCTGAAACAAGAAAAATGCCGGTTACTTTGATTATATTATTTTGACGAGCGCCTGATTTGACCACAATGTCTCACATATAAAGGTAACTCACGTGATATTTGGAGGCTACAGACGGGCACTCGTCAAAGTAGTTGTATGGCAGTAGAAAGAATGATTGCATTTAATATGGTTCTTAATAATATGTCTTTCAATTTGAAGTTGAAACAAATAAATTGACCTTGAATTACATAATATTATCGTTGTCAGAAAGTAGAGTCCAAATGTCCGGTCTAACATAATATCGGGCTATTCTACGGTAACTGACCGGACAATTGGACTATACTTACGTTATCTGTGGTTGGTTGGCAGGTGCTCTGATGTGGTACGCCCCTTCTTTCCTATTCAAACATCTATCGTCCTTATCTCTCCTTTTTGTGTACGTTACTATCTTGTTTTACATCTTTTCTCCGGCGCTTATACGACCTTATTGTGTTTCAAGTGCCGTAAAACTTTTACTAAAACTAATACTAACGTGGTCTAACATAATATCGGGCCATTCCAAGGTAATTGACGCGACAATTGGAGATCCGTGGGTAGTTGGCGGGTACTCTGGTATGGATTGCTCCTTCTTTCCATTCAAACATCTATCGTCCTTATCTCTCCTCCTTTTTTTGTATGTTCTTCTCTTGTTTCACATCTATTCTTCGGTACTTATACGACCTTATTGTGATGCATGTGCTGTAAAATTTTGACTAAAACTAAAACTCACGTGATCTCTGGAGGCGACAGATGGGCACTCGTCAAAGTAGTTGTAGGGCAGTAGGAAGAAGGTGAGGTGGTTGCCCACAGTGGGGGTGAGGGGGATGTCCTCTGTGTGGGGGATGTGGTGCATGCCTTGGGTGATCCAAAACACCAGGTCCTGTAGAGAGAGAGGAGGAGATAGAGGATGAGGGGTGGGAGGAGGGGGAGAGGAGGGTTAGGACGGGTGGGAGAGAGGAGGGTGGAGGAGTTGGAGAGGAAGGAGGAGTTGGATAGGAAGGAGGCGGAAATGAAGGGGTAGGAGAGAGGGGGAGGAGGGGGGTGTCGAGCAATGAAAACAGAGTTGGAAGAGGGAGAAGGAGGGAATGGGGATAGTGGAAAGGGAGTTGAGAGGGGAAAGAGGGGAAAGGAGGGAGGAGGGAACGGGACATGAAGGGAAGAGGAGGGAAGAGGATGGAGAGAGGATGGAGAGAGGATGGGGAGAGGAAGGGAAGAAGGGTGGAGAGGATGGGGAGAAGATGATACTGAAAATGGGATTGGGAGGGACAAGAAGAGAGAGGAGG